CGTCCAGCAGACATCTCTGGAGGAGTAGTGAGAGGCTGAGCCGACAGCATACACAAGCCACGACCGGAGGGTTGGCAAGGAGAGTTTGTGTGTGTGTGGACGCACCGCAAACTTGTCCTGGAGCGTTCGCTTCATATGACGCCAGAAGGCTTTAGATTTGCTATCTCGGCCGAGAAGCTTATTCAGGTACCCAACGACAGCGACCCTGTGGGGTTCCTCACTCGGAATGCCGCTCGACCTGATAGCACCAAGAAAAGGAAAGGCGACCTCCATCAGTTGGTCGCTGAACGATATTGAGCGCATCAGGTAGGGGAGGGCGGTGGACCTAGTCTTCTCGCGAAGCAATTTCTCAACCTCCTTCCTCACAACGCGTGCTATCATCTGTACAAGAGCAATGAGCCAGCCGCAGCGGTGAAAGTGGGTTGTAGGAGAAGTGCCGTACCTCGATGAGAATGTCGCGTTGATGCTTTTCGTTCACACGCCGCCTCAGGTAGCCCAGGTGCCGGATGTTGACGCCCGCCTGCGGTGCGGTCAGTATTAAGCACAACATCCCTGCGTGGTACGGTACCGAATGGATGATCTCGATCAGGTCCTCTTCGGCCCTGGACTGATTCTTGACCAGGTTGTTCATCTTCTCCGCCACTGCAGGGATCACTTGCTACGGGGAGCAGAGGAGAGTTCAGCTTTCGAAACTGCGTCCAGGCTGGTTACGAGCTAACGGGCCACGTACCTTGATCAGCCGTTTGGTCGCCTCGGTGACATCAGTGTTGTACTGGTCCTTGTGCAAGTCGGCCTTCGCCCAAATTGTGAACGCATCTGATATGTGCGCACCACCCGTCAGGTCCTGCGTGATAAGTGCGCGGCATGCGGGGGCAGATTACCAGAAGAGAGCGGAGTGACGTTGGATTTAACCAGCTCTGGCCGGAGGAGGTTGTACAACACGATGCCTCGCCGAGATCGACTGCGAAGAAGAGTCACACGGTTAGTCCGCGATAGTGAGATCATCACTAGCCTGGCGCACGCACTTTTGAGGAGACGGTCGTTCTGGCGGGAACGTGCGAGCAAAGTCCTACA